AGATTCCCCTGGAGAAAATGGCAACCCACTCCAGTATTCTTGCCTGGAGAATCCCATGGTCAGAGAAGCCTGGCGGGCTGCATTACAGTCCCTGGGGTAGCGAGGAGTTGGACACACCTTAGCGACTGAGCACACACAGTGCTGTGGTTATCTGTGAACAGAGAGGCCCGTTATAATTATCCGGAGTCGACATGATGACAACAACTTGATGATTTTTTCTAGCCCATAATTGAGAAAGAGCAAATGGTAACTTAATAGGTAATAATAATAATGAGACCATTAGGAAGCCAACAAAAGATTAATGATAGCTGTGAAGTGTAGAGAGAAAGGCTGGAGTCTTGAAATTAGATGACTTTTAATCTTGACTTTACTACTTACTAGCTGAGTTGCCCTGGGCAGGTTATTTCATTTCTCTCAGCTTTGATTCTCTCTTTTGTAGAATGAGGACAATCCTGTTGGCCTTTTTATGTCTCAGAACTGTCAGGAGTCTCAGGGGAAATGACAACATGTGTTTTGTAAACCAGAAAGTTTGAACCAGCTTCCTGAGGTCTTGGGTGGGGGGTGGATGGGTTCTTTTTTGTTTTTTTTCAGTATATTTGTTTTTAATTGAAAGATAATTGCTTTGCAATACTGTGTTGGTTTCTACCATATGTCAACATGAATTAGCCACAGGTATACCTATGTCCCCTCCCTCTGGGAACTCCCTCCCACCCCACCCCACCCCACCCCTCTAGGTTGTTACAAATCCCTGGTTTGAGGTCCCCAGTCATGCAGCAAATTCTCACTGGCTGTCTGTTTGACATGTGGTAACGTACATGTTTCCATGCTACTCTCTCCATTCATCCCCCCTCTCACTCCCCAACTGCCACGTCCACAAGTCTGTTCTGTATGCTTGCATCTCCATTGCCACCCTGCAAATAAGTTCATCATACCATCTTTCTAAATTCCATGTGTATGTGTTAATATATACTTGTTTTCTCTCCGTGACTTACTTCACCCTGTGTAATAGGCTCTAGGTTCATCTACTTCATTAGAACTGACTCAAATGCTTTCCTTTTTACAGCTGAGTAATATTCCATTGTATATATTACCACAGCTGCTTTGTCCATTCATCTGTCGATAAACATCTAGGTTGTTCTCACGTCCTAGCTAGTGTAGATAGTGCTGTGATGGGGCACATGTGTCTTTTTCAATTATGGTTTCCTTGGGGTATATGCCTAATAGTGGGGTTGTTGGGTTATATGGTAGTTTTATTCCTAATTTTTTGAGGAATCTCCATACTGTCTTCCATAATGGGAGGACACTGACAGCCTGCCCCAGGGTCCCAGCCAGTCCAGCCACCTGTGTTTATATGTGTGTATCTTTGGATGCATCTAAGATGACTAGGTAACACACCATGTTTCCGCAGAGAATGTTTCTGCAAAGCAAAAAATGAGATACTTTTTCTGGGAGAAATGTTTTCACAGTTCCTCTAAAGAGTCTGAGTGAGGCCTGGTGAGGAAATTTCAGTTATATTTGCAACTGGAGAAAGGTGAAAGTCAAGACAGGAATTTTTATTGGGAACAGTGAGAAGACGAATACCCTAAGAAAGGAAAAGGCCACGAGAAGTGGAGGGAAGGAGTTTGAGACTTGGAGCAGAATTTCCACTCTCTGTTATTAAACGTAATAATTCATGGTTTCGCATTTGGGGGAGAATAATCAGCCATTGTGCTCCAGTGGAAAACATCCAAGGTTGAGTTTCCAGAGAGTCTGGGCTTCCTCTGGCCTGGATTTGACTGGTGTCTAGAAGGAGGAATCACTGTCTTCTGCATGTGTGCAAAAGGGCAGGCGTCTGAATGGATATTTCTTCTTTAAAAAAATGTCTGTGATGATAAATGTGTGCCTGGGAGCTGGGGGAGCTGGGAATTCCTTGGTAATGCTTGTTTCTCATTTCTGTCCATGGTCCAGAGATAGATACCAGCCATATTCGAGGATGGAAACTCTTCAGCCTTGCCGTGTTCTCCTGCCCCTTGAGAGTCATGTTCTGTTTGAAAAGAGCTGAAAAAAAATGAAGGCTGCTCTTTCACTTGGGATAAGAAAATCCTTCTCAAAGCAATAAGGGCTCTGTGAGAGTAACAGGATCCATATGTTGAAGCTGGCTGCTAATACATAGCATATGGGCCAGCACACTTTCCAAGCTAGAAATATGCTTCTAATTCTCCAAAGAATGCCCCAGTAAACTCCAGAAAGGACCATTACTTCGGCAACGAGTGGCCGAGGCTCAGCTTCTGGGCTTCATTGGCCTGTTGTTCTTTGGAGTATGAGCCACAGATAGGGATTGAAAAGGTCCAGGTGGCCTTAAGATGGGTGGTACAGGCTTGTAGCCCTCTCCTATAGGGCCCTGTGCTCCCCCAATATACCATGGGTTTGGTCTCTTCTGTTAAGCGATATGCATCCCATTGTTTGTTAAACTGAGTGGAAACATTTTATCTTCTACTGGCAAAGACAGCATTATGTAATGGAAAGAACACTTACCTGGGAGCCAGGTGGCCTGGACTCTGGGGCCACGCTGGCTCTCACTAGATATGACCCTAGGGAAGTCACTTTACCTCTCTTTTCTTTTTTTAGTTTAAAAAAAAGGTGTGGTTTTTTTTTTTTTTAATATTTGTTTGGCTCCGTTGGGTCTTTGTTGCAGCACGCACGATCTTTCATTGTGGTGCTCAGGGTCTCTAGCTGTGGCCTGAGGGCTTAGTCTGTCCGACACATGTAGGATCTTAGTTTCCCAGCCAGGGATCAAACTCATGTCCCTTGCATTGCAACGCAGATTCTTAACCACTGGGCCACCAGGGAAGTCCGTACCACTCTTCTCTGGCCAGAAAATGAGGAGGTGGTACATGGTGATGGTTGCGACCCCTCCTGCTCAGGTCCATCCAGAATCCATCCAGAGGAGAGTGATGGAATAAAGCAGCCACAGCCAGACACACCTGCCCCTGCCACCCCGGTGCTGTGGCCCCCACATTACAATGCACTGTAGCGTGAAACAGGTGGCCAGCCCAGGTTCGATGCATGAGGCAGGGCGTTCAGGGCTGGTGCACTCGGATGATCCTGAGGGATGGGGTGGGGAGGGAGGCGGGAAGGGGGCTCAGGACGGGGGACACATGTACATCCATGGAGGACTCACATCGATGTATGGCAAAAACCACTACAATATTGTAAAGTAATTAGCCTCCAATTAAAATAAATTAATTTTTTACAATTAAAAAAATAATAATCCATTGTAGCGCTGCACACTGCGGGTGAAATTCATGAAAGGTAGGGGGAAGACCTTTCATTGCTCTCAGGAAGAATTCCATCCTGGGTCTCAAATGAGTAATCGGAAGCAAACCGACTGCCGAGAGACAGGCGGCCCCTCCATTCCTATCATATTTCTTCTGAGCTGGCATTTGGAAGCCTCTGGATTCCTGCTTCATATTCTCAGAGTGGCGTGCTCAGCATCCTCGCCCAGCCTGTTCCTGACTTCTCACTCCTCCCCATTCCGTTCCTGTCCCACCAAACCATCCCTTTCTCTGCAGCCTCTGCTGGGTTTTTCCATGGGATGCTTTGTCTGTAGGATGGTGAGGAAGGCTGTGCCCCTGGTGGATATGTTGCCCCACGCTCCCCCTTGCCCGCCCCAAGCAGGCTCTTTGATCCCTGTGTTTCACTGAGTACAACCGTGGTTGCTTCATCAAATGAACACAGACAGAGACCCACAGCGGCTCTGCCTGCAAGTCCGTCACCATGGCAACGAGTATTCCCTCTGCTCTACTGTGCAGAAAAAATGGCTGTTAAAAGGAAGGGCTTGCTGAGTCTCTATTACTCGGTCTGTTTTGTCCAGGCTCCTCCTTCCTACCGGCTTGCAGACGCTTCATGCATTCAACCAAATGTCCATTAGCCTTTACCTTGCTGATTTACTTTACCTAAGAGGAGGAAAGGCAGAAAGAAGTTGGATCCCAATGAATAATAGCACTTCTCCTACCCTAAGAATACATTTTCATGAGCAATGGTTATCTGACTTAAGCAGATAATCGAGGAACCGGGTGAATACAGGAATCCATGAGATCCAGTGCAATGTGTTTTGTCTTAATGGGTGGAGTGGACTGATAGAGCACGGGTGCGTGCATAGCTAAGTTGCTTCAGTCGTGTCCACCTCTTTGCAACCCTGTGGACTACAGCCCGCCAGGCTCCTCTGCCCATGGGAGTCTCCAGGCAAGAATACTGGAGTGGGTTTCATGCCCTCCTCCAGGGGGATCTTCCTGACCCGGAGATCAAACCCGCGTCTCTTATGTCTCCTGCATTGGCAGACAGGCTCTTTACCACTAGCACCACCTGGGAAGCTGGATAGAGCCTATGGGTATTCAAATCGAATGTAGTATAGTAGCCAAGGGATGCAGGGGGACCACGGGGCAGAGACTCCAGCATTGCAGAAGAGTGACTGACTGGTCGGGGTGACCATGTTTTATCGCTGTCTCCTCTGATGCAAAGAGATGGATTGGTCCTTATAGTCGCAAGGGAGGTGAGTGTTTGTTTGGCATCCCCTCCCCCAAAACTAGGTTGGATCTTCACGTCGAACCCTTTGTGGTGGCTAAGCTCTATGGTGTGGGGAAGTGGCAGGAAGCCCTGTGCGGGGTTGTGGACAGTAGGCTTCCCTCTGAACACAGCTGTGGGGACCCTTCAGGTTGATGATGCATGTGCAACTGGCTGGGCTGCCATTTCCATGAATGAAGGGCTGCTGTTTGGAAGCAGGACACTAAGCTTTCTCAAAAGGTCGGGAACATTTAGGGCAGCGTTCACCCCAGGTCTCCCGGGCGGCCTGCACCGTCTGATAGAGGACAGCGGTTGCACATGAAATGACCTGGATCGTGTCCACTCCTGGCTTTGGTGTGAGGAACTGTGATGACACGTTCTCAAAACCCAAACAACCTCCTCTCTTCGCTCTTTCTGGAAGTGGGCGAGGAGACTCCGTTTTTTAATGAAAGCTCTAGTTTCTGTCTCAAAACTGCGAACGTACGTTTAAACTGGACTTTTTGTCTTTTTCAGTTTCTCTGCAAGTGGATATTGTTCCCAGCCAAGGGGAAATCAGCGTGGGAGAGTCCAAGTTCTTCCTGTGCCAAGGCAAGTACCCCCATCACACTGCATCTCAGGAAACCCACCCCGCAGGGCAGAGGACACAGCTGCATCTGCTGGGCTGATGGTGTGCCTGGAATCTCAGCTCACCCTGTGACCTGGGAAGTGCTCAGACCGTCTCCCTTCCCCTCACCAAGTTTGCCCCAGTACAGTGAAATGTGCCCTGTGGACATCCACCTGGTGATGGAGGAGATCGAGGGATTTTCTTGGGAAAGCCAACACAGCTGCCAGACCCCTGCTCTGGGTGCCTCCAGAGTTCCGTGAATGACACTGGAGAGCAGGGCTGCTTCAGAACGAATGCTTCAGTGGGTCAGTGTCTGGATTATTAGAATCTCCCAGAGCAGGAAAATACAAGAAGCCCTAAAATGTGCCTGAAAGAAAACTGAGTACAGCCATCTCTTTTGTGGTGAGGACAGGTGTCCTGGGTTTTCCAGCTCTCCAGTGAATTCCAATATTCTGTCCCATTGCCCGCACCAGAGCTCCGAATTTGTCAAACCTGGTGTTCTTGTCTTCTGTTTAGAAAACATACCCCATTTCCACAGCTCAGCTAATTATCAGGAAATGTCCTGCAGAGGAAAGGCTTCCTGTGAGGTTCTGGAGGCTCTGTATGTGACATGCCTGGGATTTGGAACATGAAAGGACCAGGAAAGAGCTGAGCTAGGTGTAAGCTGACATCCAGCAAGCCGCTTTCAGCAGGGAGGGGTTTGAAATGCTGTCAGATTTGCACGGGATGAGGCGGCTCGTGGCCGCTGGATGTCTTCCCTCCAGCCTTCATTACAGCCATTGAAACGAGCCGGAGAGGCCACCATGGAGACCACAGTGCATCTTGCAAAGAGCGATATCTGTTGAAAACATGATGGGCCCTGAAAGGAGGGCTGCTGCATTTCTATACTAAGCATCTGTGCCAGGCGGTGGGGTGGGGCTGCAGGCAGGGGAAGGATGCTGGGCAGAGAGGACGCTGTGCGAGAACCATTCGGGATCCCAGAGCCCTTGTTCCGGCTCAGTGTCTGGACAGCTCAGCAGCAGCAGCGTCCGAGCCTCTGAGCTGCCTGGGGAACGGGTGATGGGCGATGCTGGCTACCTTCTTTGAAGCATTTCAGCAGATGTGTTTGCCTGTCTGAGGCAGGGGGCAGGGGGGTGGGGGGGGGCAGTGTGCTGAAACGCCAGTTTGTGCAGGCAGGTGGTGGAGCAAAAGTGGTTGGAATTTATACTCAGAGACTAGCCGGTATCTCATCTTCTATTTAGGAGACCATAATCTAAGCCCTCAAAAACAAGCTGATGAGTTGACTAACCAACTAGCCCTTGAGCTCAGATCCAGGATACTAATTCCCTTTGCCCCACAATCTGCGGGGCTATAAGCTACTAGTTCAGTGCCTGCACACAGTAGGTCCTCAACAAATATCTCTTCCCTCACTAGGGATAGGCCCACTATGAGAAATATCAGCACCAATGTTTGTTGAGTTCTTCCCAATTAAAACAAAACAAACACAGAAGCGACCAACATGAATGGTCACACACACGCACGCACACACCTCCCACCTCGTTATCAAACCTGATGAGCCCTTCCTCAGGAGCTCTTATTAACTATCTACTGTCTCCTGGAGGGCTCTTTGTCTTTTCATCATCAGTGGTTTGAAAATAATCTCTCCCTCTTCAGTGGCCGGAGATGCCAAAGATAAAGACATCTCCTGGTTCTCCCCCAACGGAGAGAAGCTCACCCCGAACCAGCAGCGGATCTCGGTGGTGTGGAACGACGACTCCTCTTCCACCCTCACCATCTACAACGCCAACATCGACGACGCCGGCATCTACAAGTGCGTGGTCACTGCGGAGGATGGCACCGAGTCGGAGGCCACAGTCAACGTGAAGATCTTCCGTAAGAACCCCTCCTTCTCCTTCTGTATTCCCTGACCTCTCCTTTGGCCGGGAAGACAACACGGGTAGCAGAGAGTGGGGTGGAACACAGGGCTTGACTGGACCTCTTTTCTGCTTTTCTTTTAAGTCTTTTCTGCATCAAGATAAGAGCTCCAATGTGGGTTATTTTGCTTGTTTTTGGTGCGTTTTTTGGGGGGGACAGGCAGGGGCCTACTAGTTTCAAACTAAATTTATTATTTCATGAGGTACTCTATACAAGGGTTTTCCAGTAAGGAAAGGAATCTGCCTGCCAATGCAGGAGATGTAAGAGACTTGGCTTAGATTCCTGTATCAGGAAGATTCCCTGGAGGAGGGCATGGCAGCCCACTCCAGTATTCTTGCCTGGAGAATCCCATGAACAGAGGAGCCTGGTGGGCTACAGTCCACGGAGTCGCAGAGAGTCAGACACGACTGAAGTGACTTAGCACACGCGCACACACTCTACACAAATAAGATTTTATCAGGGAGTTCCGTAGTGGTCCAGTGGTTTAGAATCCACCTGCCATTGCAGGGGATGTAGGTTCATTCCCTGGTAGGGGAAGATGCCACGTGCTACAGAGCAACTTAGCCTATGAGCCACAGCTGCTGAAGCCTGCACGCTTGAAAACCTGTGCTCTGCAACAGAAGACGCCACTGCAATGAGAAGCCCATACACCGCAACTTTAGGCCCCGCAGCAACAAAGACCCAGTGCAGCCAACAAATAAATAAAAACTAAAGTAAAATTAAAAAATGTTTTAACAGTATGTTTCCTGAAAAGTTGTTGTATTTTAATGCCTATTTAACACACGTGTAGGTTATATCAGGGGATTTGTATTTTTTTAATTTATTTTTTTATTGGAGTATGTTGTGTTAGTTTCTTCTGTACAACAAAGTGAATCAGCCACACGTGTACAAATATCCTCTCCTCCATCCAGTGTGATTTTAAATGATCCTTGGCCAACTCCAGACTCATAACTGTGTTCATGCTGGCCACAGCTATCTCGCCCTGGCCTCGATTCTCTAAATGCACGTTACACCATTCCCATAGGATGTGTGTTCCCCTCACCCTTCCCCAAGTGTTGACTGACTGTTTTACACCTCAGTTTATCCCCTCTTATTTCACTCTTTCCTGCTGGCAGTGGAGTGCAAAGGCTCGGTGGGGTGGGAAGGGTTATTATCTGAACGTTCTGTGCCACTCAGAGCAGATGGTTCCCATTGCCACTGAAACCAATCTAAAGGTGGCATCTCATTACCTTATTATCATGCGTCTGTCCTGTTGGCCAGGGTGATGGGGGGTGACCACTAATGGAACAGTATTGATTGCCATAGTATTTATTGCCATAAGCCTGCCTTTCGTGTTTTAGTCTTCAAAATTCTCTCTGCCATAGGTGGCTGGGGTTGGGGTGTCAGGCAGACTGGGAGACAGAGAAAGGACTGATGGCTCCTCCTATTCATGGTAGAGCAGATGTCCCACCAGCACGTTGCGTTGCAGTAGCTCCATCCACATGATAAAGACACACCTCTCCCTCTGTAGACCCTTTTCTACAGAGTGTGATGAACTTAGCTCTCTGAATAGACAGTAACCGCCAAACATGGATGAACATATTCCTCTTGTGCCATCCGCTTTGCCTGCATGTTTGGCCAAGTGACGGGTGGACCCCGTTGGGTACCACTGCATATATGGACTCGAGTCCAAGCAGTAAGGCACCAGTGAAAAGGGGTTTTTGTGGGAGAACCACTGTTTTCCCTCACTCTCCTCTTGCCCCCTTTTTCAGAGAAGCTCATGTTCAAGAACGCACCAACCCCACAGGAGTTCAGAGAGGGAGAAGACGCCGTGATCGTGTGTGATGTGGTCAGCTCCCTCCCCCCAACCATCATCTGGAAGCACAAAGGCCGAGATGTCATCCTGAAAAAAGATGGTGAGAGCGGGCAGCCGCCCCTTCCCCTGGGCCGCTGAGCCCCTCAGAGTTTCTACCTCCGCCAGCTGCTGAGGCGCCCCAGCCCAAACTCAGACTCCAGCGTCCCAGAACTGCATGCCATTTCCAGGCTAGTGGTTGCATGTCTATAGCTTGTATATTCAGGCACGTGACTTTCTCTCCAAAGAAAAATACAGATTTCCAGCAGGCTTTTGCTCTTGGCTCTATGTCAGAGCCAGGGACATATTATCTTATTTCAGCTTAAAGCCTGTCCCCACTTCCAGCCCTCCACCCACCCCCATGAGACTGAAGGTAGGAAAAAGACAAGGTTCAGCGCTCTGCCTGCAGGTTCCCATCCTCTGACTGATCCTGGGACAAACCTGCTTCTTGTCTTTTCTAGTCCGATTCATAGTCCTGGCCAACAACTACCTCCAGATCCGGGGCATCAAGAAAACAGATGAGGGCACTTACCGCTGTGAGGGCAGGATCCTGGCCCGCGGGGAGATCAACTTCAAGGACATTCAGGTCATTGTGAATGGTAAGGAGCCCTGGCCTTCCTGCTCTCCTCACGGCTCCCGCCTTGGCTTGTCCACGTCAGCTGAGTCCACCCCTTCCCCCAGCCCACCCCCGTCCTCTGCCTTGTTTATTTGTTTGTTTTTAAAGACACTCACCTTTTGGGTCTCCCTCAACTATGGGGACTTCCAGTGCAGTTCTGGAACGTCCTTCATTATCTTGGAGCACTAGAAACTTGCCCCATGCTTCCTAATAAATTCTTCCTTATCCTTCACTGTCCTTGATGTTACTGTAATGGTGAAGTTAGTCCCCTGGTTCAGTGTTCAGAGAAAATATTATTATCATTTCAGGCCTCAGAATAGTCAGAATCATAGTCCATCCGTCGGTTTATTAATCTTAATTTGCAGTGTCAAATAAACACACCCGTGGAATCGATCTGACATTTACAAGATGTTTAGAGGAAATTATAATGTCAGTACTAAGAAAATAAGTAAATCGTGGTTGAATTGTTTTAGATATTGAAATGTATTTTTTGCCAAACTCTCTCTCATTCCTTTGGTAAAAACCAGTTTGTGCACAGAGTTGTTTAGGACAGTCCGAGAGAAATGTCACTCTTTGGTGAGCTAGTGCATTTCACATTGGTATTAACCATATAATTACTGAAAATGAAAATTTTGAACTTTTTCCAGTATTAAGAGCCCCCCCTTTAAATGTCAAGTTCTGCCAATCATGGTAGTTAAGATGAGTATGCACTGATTGAAAAAATATATAATGATAAATAGCTACTGTAAGTTGAACACCACTTTAAAATAAGGAAGACATTAATACAGCTTCTAAATCTGTATTTTTGAAAAGCAATATTATTATATGTTGTTATACATATACCATTACTAAGTATTGTTGGGAAACACTAATGCATGCTTGTGGGTGAATTATTTATCCAATTTACAGTAATTGTTTAGTGCACACCTGCATTTAGACCCCTTACGCTAAAGCTCTGCAGCTTCCCAAGTCCTTAACCCTCTGACTCGGGGTCCCCCAAAAGTGACTCTTCTCCAGGCCACCGAGTCCTTTCAGGTTTTCGCAGCCCCCACTGACAGCCCTTCTTTCCTTCAGTGCCACCCACCGTCCAGGCCAGGCAGAGCATAGTGAATGCCACCGCCAACCTCGGCCAGTCCGTCACCCTCGTGTGCAACGCCGAAGGCTTCCCGGAGCCCACCATGAGTTGGACAAAGTAAGAAACCGGCTTGAGCCTTTATGACCGACTAGCGGAGGAGACCTGTCAGGGCCTACTGTGTTGGCGTTTCCAGGGAATGGGGTGGGCAGCTGGGAACCAGCAGCTCCGAGGGCAGAGTGGACTCTTCCAGTAAGGTCTGCTTGCCTTGCGTGTGCATTGGATTCCTCCGTCTTCAGTCTGTGGGGCAGAACCAGAGGCCCTCTTTGGAATTTTGGAGGATGCCATTTGCAGCCCTTAGGCAGAATCGGAGATTTGGTTAAAGGAATCACACAGAAAGAAATAGAATTGAATGTCTTAACTTTCCGTGCAAGTTCAGTCTTTGACATGCGTTCAGTCTGCATTTTATGGAAACTAACTAAGTATTAACCTCTCAGCTCTGTCATTAAAATCGCGGTCCTTCCCGTTTCTGTGCCCTGCAGGGACGGGGAGCAGATAGAGAATGAGGAGGACGAGAAGTACCTCTTCAGCGACGACAGCTCCGAGCTGACCATCAGGAAGGTGGACAAGAGCGACGAGGCCGAGTACGTCTGCATCGCCGAGAACAAGGCGGGCGAGCAGGACGCGTCCATCCACCTCAAGGTCTTCGGTAAGGACAGAGCGGCCAAGGTCATTGCTCTGCCTCGGTTTCTCTGACCGCTCGCCGTCCATCAGCAAGACCCTGTCCACTCGGCCTGGGAGGCTGCCCCCAAAGTAGCCGCTTCTCTCCAGCTCCCACCGCCTCAGCCCGATTCCAGGCCATCTTGGTCCTCACCTGGTCAATGAGACCAACTCCCAGCTGATCCCCCCGCTCCCCATTGTCCCCCTTATCAGCCTCCCCCACTCCCAGTAGCTGGAACAACCTTACATGCCATTTCTCTGTTTCAAATCCTCCAACGGCTTCCTGTTGGAGGTATAAAATCCAGACTCCTCTTTGGGGGCAAGACACTATATCTGCGCTTGCCCTGACTTCCTCCCTGACCTCATCATCCCTCCACACTTGCAGCTCTCCAGCTCCGGAAGCCCCCTTCCTCTCCCTTAGACACACTAAGCGTGTTCTCTGTCTCAAGGACATTGCTCCAGGTGCTTCTTCCGCTTGCAGCCTCATTCTGCCAGATCCCCTGCAAGCTGCCCTCTGCTCATCCGTTATCCAGATCTCAGCGCATCCTTCAGATCACCTTCTCAGTGAACCCTGCCCTCCCTGCTCTGAGCCACGCTTCTCCCTTATCACTGCACCCACCCACTCCACTCACCTCTTCTTCAGTGCCCTTCTCCCTGCCTGAACTGATCTCGTTTACATACTGGTTTGGGGGATTGCTTTTCCTGCGTCCACTAAGCGTGTGAACTCCAAGATGGCAGAGCACCGGCTGCCTTATACATCACTTTATCTCTGGCTCTCCAGACAGTGCCAGACTTCATAATAAGTGGGAAAAAAAAAAGTGAAAATGTTAATCACTCAGTCATGTCTGACTCTTTGTAACCCCATGGACTGTAGCCCACCAGACTCCTCTGTCTATGGAATTCTCCAAAGAGTACCGGAGTGGGTAGCCATTCTCTTCTCCAGGGGATCTTCCCGACCCAGGGATTGAACCTGGGTCTCCTGCATTGCAGGCAGATTCCTTACAGTCTAAGCCACAAGGGAAGCCCATAATAAATAGGCCCTTGTTCAGTGTTAGTGACCAAATGGCTGCCTCTGTCTCCCTTTCTTCCTTCCCTGACCTGTGTGAAGCAGGACTAGAAAAGTCATGAAAAGAAACTCTATATCTCTACTCACTTTGTCTCTATAAACTCAGTTAACTTCCATTCATTCAGAGCTGAAATGCATTTTGACCTGACTTTGAAAAATGAATTTGTGGCGGAGAGATATTTAACCTAGTGACTTTCCGCTCTGTCGGCTCATCTTTTCTAAAAACAGATCAGGGAGTCCAGTGTAGACAGTGCTGCCAGAGAACAGACACTGCAGGGGCATCCCTGATGCATGCAGCTCCCAGGTGGTTATAGCACATGTCCTGGGGAACCTTGCCTGGGACCCGCTCGTTTAGCTCAATAAGGAGAATGCACTGATGTTTGTAAACACAGACCTGTGAAAACCAAGCATTTCTGCTATCCTAGATGGATCCTGCTTATTCTTTAATGACAGTTGGACTTGGAAACAGGTTATCAGTTGGGTCGAAATTAACTGTGCATACTTGCGAGTGCAGCTAAATTTCTTGGAAAATATTCTTGACGATATTTTCTCTGATTTTGACGGGTCTACCTCAGACTCTGATGTTAAGTTTTTCTAGATGAAAGACAGATGCACTTGTTACTATATTCCTTCATTTCACAATTTCTAAACCGGAGTATAATTCCTTTGCAGTGTACATGTGTACACTTCCTTTGTATGTGTACATATGTGCCCTCCCTCTCGGGCTCCCCTCTCCCGCTGCATCCCTCCCTGGTCCTCACGGAGCACTGAGCAAGCTCCCTGTGTGATGCAGTGCTCCCACCAGTGTCTGTTTTACACATGATAGTGTAGATATGTCAGTCCTGACCTTCCAATTGGCCCCACCCTGTGTCCACATGTCCTCTATATCTGCGTCTGTATTCCTGCCCTGAAAATAGGTTCATCAGTACCATCTTCCTAGATTCTATATATATGCATCAATGTACGACATTTGTTTTTTCTTTCTGAGTTACTTCACTCTGTATGACAGACTCTAGGTTCATCCACATCACTACAAATAATCCGATTTCATTCCTTTTCATAGCTGAGTGACATCCCATTGTATATATGTACCACATCTTCTTTATCCATCCATCTGTCAGTGGACATTTAGGTTGCTCCCGTGTCCTGGCTATTTTAAATAGTGTTGCAATGAACTTTGGGGGACATGTGTCTTTTTGATTTGTGGTTTTCTTAGTCACTCTGATTTTAAGTTTTTCCAGGTGAAAGACAGATGCATTTCTTCATGCATTCCTTCATTTCATAATTATTTACTGAGTACCCTTGTTGCTGGACAGAGGGGCAACAGAGATGAGTAAGAAAAGGTGTTTCAACCCCAAGAAGCACAAAGAGGGACATAAATATATATGCCTATAAATTATAGTAAATGATGAGTACCTGCCATAAGTCCAGCCATTGCCAAGGTTACAAAGATGAATAACATACACTCTGTTTTCATCAGTGGGTTCATAGGCTAACACAGATAATCATAAAATTGTTAATGACAACCCATTATGATGACTTCATAACAGTATACCTTAAGTATAAAGTAGGAAGTGACAAATAGATTCAAGGGAGTAGATCTGATAGACAGAGTGCCTGAAGAACTATGGACAGAGGTTCATAAGATCATACAGGAGGCAGTGATCAAAACCATCTCCAAGAAAAAGAAATGCAAAAAGGCAAAATGGCTGTCTGAAGAGGCCTTACAAAGAGCTGAGAAAAGAAGAGAAGTGAAAGGCAAAGGAGAAAAGGAAAGATGTATCCATTTGAATACAGAGTTCCAAAGAATAGCAAGGAGAGAAAAGAGAGTCTTCCTCAGTGATCAATGCTAAGAAATAGAGGAAAACAATAGAATGGGAAAGACTAGAGATCTCTTCAAGAAAATTAGAAATACCGAGGAAACATTTTATGCAAAGATGGGCACAATAAAGGACAGAAATGGTATGGACCTAACAGCAGCAAAACATATTAAGAAGAGCTGGCAAGAATACACAGAAGAACTGTACAAAAAGATTTTAATGACCCAGATAACCACGATGGTGTGATCACTCACCCAGAGCCAGACATCTTGGAGTGCAAAGTCAAGTGAGCCTTAGGCAGCATCACTACAAACAAAGACAGGGGAGGTGATGGAATTCCAGCTGAGCTATTTCTAATCCTAAAAGATAGTGTTGTGAAAGTGCTGCACTCAGTATGCCAGCAAATTTGGAAAACTCCGCAGTGGCCACAGGACTAAAAGGTCAGTTTTCATTTCAGTACCAAAGAAAGGCAACACCAAAGAATGTTCAAACTACCCCACAGTTGCACTCATTTCACATGCTAGCAAAGTAATGCTCAAAATTCTCCAAGCTAGGCCTCAACAGTATGTGAACCGAGAACTTCCAGATGTTCAATCTGGATTTAGAAAAGGCAGAGGAACCAGAGATCAAATTGCCAACATCCTTTGGATCATTGAAAAAGCAAGAGAATACCAGAAAAATATCTACTTCTGTTTTATTGACTATGCCAAAGCCTTTGACTGTGTGGATCACAACAAACTGTGGAAAATTCTTAAAGAGATGAGAATACCAGACCACCATACTTGCCTCCTGAGAAACCTGTATTCAGGTCAAGCAACAGTCAGAACCAGACATGGAACAGCGGACTGGTTCCAAACTGGGAAAGGAGTACGTCAAGGCTGTATATTGTCACCCTGCTTATTTAACTTCTCTGCAGAGTACATCATGCGAAATGCCAGGCTGAATGAAGCACAAGCTGGAATCAAGATTGCCAGGAGAAATATCAATAACCTCAGAAATGTAGACACCACCTTTATGGCAGAAAGCAAAGAGGAACTAAAGAGCTTCTTGATGAAGAGGAGAATGGGTGAAAGAGGAGAATGAAAAAGCGGGCTTAAAACTCAACATTAAAAAAACTAAGATCCTGGCACTATCACTTCATGGCAAATAGATGGGGAAACAGTGGAAACAGTGACAGACTTTTTTGGGGGGGGACTCCAAAATCTCTGCAGATGGTGACTGCAGCCATGAAATTAAAAGATGCTTGCTCCTTGGAAGAAAAACTATGACCAACCTAGTTAGCATATTAAAAAACAGAGACATTACTTTGCTGACAAAGGTCTATCTAGTCAAAGCTATGGCTTTTCCAGTGGTCACGTATGGATGTGAGAGTTGGACCGTAAAGAAGGGTAAGTGCCGAAGAATTGGTGCTTTTGAACTGTGGTGTTGGAGAAGACAAGATCTTGAGAGTCCCTTGGACAGCAAGGCGATCAAACTAGTCCATCCTAAAGGAAATAAACCCTGAATATTCATTGGAAGGACTGATGCTGAAACTGAAGCTCCAGTACTATGGCAACCTGACTGGAAGAGTTGACTCACTGGAAAAGACGCTGATGCTGGGAAAGATTGAGGGCAGGAGGAGAAGGGGCGACAGAGGATGAGATGGTTGGATGGCATCACCGACTCAATGGACATGAGTTTCAGCAAACTCCAGGAGATGGAGAAGGACAGGGAAGCCTGGCCTGAATCCATGAAGTTGCAAAAATTTAGGCACAACTGAGCGACTGAACACAGCAACAAATAGCAATAGGCACAGTGTTTTACAGGAAAAGATTTTTGTCTGGTCCTGTGTGACAGCAGTTAGGGAAGTCTTCAAACACGGTAATGCGTTTCCCAAGTGGGAGTTGCCCAGATGCGGGAGGGGTGGACGAGCCTTTCAAGCCGGGCTGCGCAGGCACCGAGGCTGGAAGAGCCCCCGTGCTGGAGGTGAACTCCTTGTGGCCGGGGATTGTGTCCGCTATACTCACAGACCTACCCTTAGTGTCAGCATCAGCGTGAACTTCCTCAGTGGGACATCAGCTGGCATAAAAGAGACACCAGTGTTTGAATAAATGAGGGAATCGT